AAAAAAAAAAAAATCTTTTGTAGCTCAAAAATTGGAGGCCCAATTGGACTGTTTTTAGCATTTTAAGCATTTTCGGGCAAACGCACAATAAAAACAATTTTTTTTTGCACTAATTATCCGTTTTCAGATCTATAGGGGAGGATGGGGCAAAACGGCCCCCCTTCAATCGTCAATATTTTCCGATTCAATAATCCGATTGGGATGAGTTAGAGCTCGTTTTGAAGAATGAAAAATTATCTTCAAAATGAAGTTGAAACTGGGAATTTTCACTGGGAATAAATGACGAAATAATTCAGTTTCCTCGAAAAATTCTGTAAAGTCACTATATGCTCTAATTACCGAACTTACGCTTGTCTGTTATTAAACTGTTGATACCTAGATGGTCTGACATCACAAACCTAAGCAACCCCCTTTCTCCGTTTCATCATAAACTGCAGCCTCTCCTCCTCACTAATCGTGTAACGTAATATTTGAATGCCTCTTCAACACATTTTTGGCATTCCTGCCGTAAGGCAGGAATTCGCGGACGCGCAACGGCCGTCATGACAAAAAATAATGTTCATCACCTGGCCGAAAAAAAAATTTTATGCCACTCATGCCTGAAACCGGCTGGATTACACACTCGACGCTTCGCATCTCGTGTCTAATTCAGCCGGTTTCAGGCTTCGTGACATAAAATTTTGTTCAGTACTTGTTGGGAAATTTCGTCCTTAACGTGTGTGGTTACATCACTCGCCTTCGGCTCATGCTGTAAACCCCACACACGTTAAAGACGAAATTGCCCCACACGTGCTGAAATATACTATTTTGTGATTGGAAAGAGTTTGCTACAAAAGAAGGTTTCTTAATAAATTCCTCTAAAGCTCGTTCTTCTAAAGATATTTCCAAAATACTCTACACTCAACTTATTAACGCAATTTCTTTTTTGCCACTTCACTAATTCCAGTGATAACAATAACACTTGAATAACCATTTAAATATTAATCATATAATGCAGAGCACATACGAAGGAAAATTATCGGTTCGTATTCTCTGTCATGATAATGTTAAGAATAAAATAAAATTGAAAAAATTGAAAACACTGTAATGAGAGAATTTTTTCTCGTGGATGTGTGGATTCCAGCTTGGGGTAATGCAACGCCAGTGCCATCGGCAACAAATATCACAATGAATGCTACGATGAAACCACCAACGGCGAGTTTAAATTTCAATCCACCGTTAAATCTGACCGCGCCATTGTCGACGAGTGAAACGAGCTCGAGTTTTCAACTGCAAAAGCCACCAGTTGGTAATAAACGTGGCAAACACTGATACAAGTGTAATGCGCTGAGTCCGATGCATTGATTGATGGATTGGAATTGATCTGATGCGCAAATAGGAAACAGATGCCTTGAGAGGGAATTGAATTTCATTCAATTCCCGTGAAGATGGATGAAACACTGTGGATTGTTGTTCTCTCCACGCGAGGGAATCGAGTCGACAGTTCTCAATGATTTTCTGGAATTATTCCACTATCCGATGTTTGAGATCGTTAAGGCGATGTGACTCGCAATCGTGGTTATATCATTGATTTTTTGTGTAATAAAGTAATTTTTTAATTAATCATTGAACATGTTTTTGTAACAAAGACGTTTATTCTCGCCGATAGAATACTGAATTAGATTAAACACCATTTTTTTGTTGTTTTCGTAGAAAATTCGGTTAGAAAAAGTTGGTTGAGGTGGGAGTGGTTAGAGTGCACCCACTTGGAGGATCGGGATCAATAGCCTAAACGCATCTTGGATGTATGAACTGGCATTGGTCGCCTGGAACAAAAAAAATACAATTTATTCTGGAAATATGTTCGGTTGGGAGGGGTTCGGGAAAAAATGTCAAATATCCTATGAAAAAGGTCTCTTGATATTGTGCACCCAGAGAAATGACATTTTAATTAAATAACACTTTTCATTTTCAATTTTTGTATCACTCAAATTATATGAATATTTTCGCTAGTTATCGGTTTTGTACGTTCAAAGATTTAATTTTATTGAGGCATATGGCTTTCTTATAATTCAAAAGGCCTAAAAAAATTTGTTAAATTTTTTTCAAATTTTATTACGCCCACAGCGTCAACTTTTTAGTTATTTATCGCCCACTCATGGACCCTAAATAATGAATTTTGGAATGGAAAAATTAAAAAATGAGAAATTGGACGAAATTTTTTTAAACAAAATTTGAAGAAAATTATTTTGGGTAGAATGGGTCCGAGTCCCAGTCTAATTTTTAAATGTTTCGTAAAAATAGTCACTTTGGGTAAGCGAAGAAAAAAATCTTCAATCGAGATAGGGGAAGGGGGTACCACGTACAATTTTCTAGTTTTTTGGTGATTTTAAAGCATTTGCGACGATGTGAGCTCATTGGTACCATGCTCAGTTGGAAGAACGGAAAATTTTCATCGGAAATACATATTGAAAATCCAAAAAAAAATTGACCTCTACTGAGGCGCAAAATTTTAAGTTTCTTTCGAAGTAAGAGGTGTTAAAAGAATGAAGTCAAGTGATCGTTATTTAGTAAAATAATTTGCATGCGAATATGTTATCCATTTTTTTCAACGCTCCTATTTGTAAAAGAATATAGATGGGGAGGGGTAAAATGGACACTTTTGACTTTTTTTGGAATATCCATGGAATGTTCAATTCTTCATGAAATGGAATAATTTTCTTCTTCAATTGAAAGAACAATTCTTTCCTTTTGTGATGAGCTTAGACTGAACTCAATTGATAAATCTGTTTCTGAGTTATGAATATTTAAGAAAAAGTCAAAAGTATCCATTTTACCCCACCCTCCCATCCTTCAAGGAATGAATTATAATTACCTCCAGGAAAATTGTAGTAATATCATCAGACTCCTTGGGCTTCCCCTCCCCATTTTTATTCCTCGCATTGAGGCACTTTGAAAATGAACTCGCCGCGGTGCCGATCTGGCCGGATAAAATTTTCGTCAACTGCACAAGAGCATCTGCCTCATTAACAGTACTACGACGCTCCTTCACCAATAGAAGTTCAGCCGTTTTGTGGAATCTCTCGACTGAGTAAGCTGTGAGTCTCGCCAGTGTCGATATCGCGTTTTGAAATACTTCTTTGTCCGTTACAGTTGACTCTGGGCTCGATACTTCTGTCAAATATATCTTAGTTTCTTCCCAAATCTGTAAAAAAACAAAGACGAACTTTCGACTCAATTCTTATTCGTTTATTAAGTATAGATTTATATGGGTCATTGAAGGCAAAATGTCAAGTGATCTTTTTCGTAGATAATTTCTTCCGCTCTAAAAGAGCCTTCAACCATTTTGTATCAACCACGGAGTAACTGTCTTAAATATTTTTTAAAGATCTTTTCTACTTCGATGTCATTTCAGGACAAAATGTCGAAAAACCATTTGTGTAGGAAATTTTCTCACCCTTATAAAAAGCCTTCTGACATTTTCTCCTAAAATTTATACCTAATCATCACAGAATAGATTTATTCTGATATTAACGCCTGGGTGGATTATCTTTCGAACGTTTCTCGATTGTTTTTCCACCTTCATAATGTAAAATATATCACAATTTCCATTGCATTTTACATCACGCGGGAGTCTCTAAAATGATGATTGTACAATCAAAAAAAGTAGAAAAAAATGAACATTTTTAAAGAGCGTTTTTAATAAAAATTAAGAAATAAGTCCGATAGAGAGAAAATAGTGAATGGATAATTTATCATGGTAACTAAGGTTCTGACGGATATTGATTACTGTGACAAATGACCTAACAGCCATTAGATACATGAAATTATTAATTTGCAATTTTCTCCCTGTTGGGTTTATTTCCCAATATTATTCAAAAAAGCCCTTTGAAAACGTTCAGTTTCATTTCAACGTTTTTTAAAATGAGCAATCATATTTTTTGGAGACTCCAGGGTTATGTAAAACTGAATAGCAATTGGAGATCATTTTAGATTATCAAAATAAAAAAAACAAGATCGCGTTCTAAAGATAATCCACCTGGGCCTTATTCATGAATTTTCTCCTTCTGTTTTCTATTTTTTTTTAATTCATTTTTACTTCGATTTCAAGATGAAATGTCGAAAGATCCTCTTTGTAAACGAAATTGTCATTAACAAAAAATATCCTCTGACATCATCTCCTAGAATCAATCAGTGTCGAAATAACTATAATTTATACAGATTTAATGACAATTTGACTTCTACGGATTATAATGTTATCATGTCAATGACCTCTTTTAATTCCCCATAATGAATGCTAACACCCAGATCAGCACAAGCGGACTTGATCGTCTCCTCGGAATCTCCTTCCTTATCATCTTCATCCTCCTCCCCGAGATCACAGAGTTCCTTCACCTCCTCGAGTGTCTCTTGTACAGACATCATTTCGTCAGCTTCCAAAGTAACCAACTTGTGTTCTATCTTCATGCTTATCTGTTTCGACAGCATCTCAAGTGCCTCCAGATGCACGAGGCCCTGAGCATCGTCGAAGAGGATTTCGAATGTTTTGGTCATTTGACTGTTTTCGACTGTATTCTCGCCAGATTCAGCCTTTTCTTTAGCTTCTCTGAGAATTTGGGAGAGAATTGGCTTCTTGACCTCATTCTTGAAGAAGGCTCGTTTCTTTTTTAGCCCTGGGTCACCCTCTTGGAGAACCTCCATGGTTTTCTTTCCGATTGTTTCTAGAGTACCTAGACCTCCTGTAATCACTTTGGTTCCTGTCGATTCGACTAATTTCGTGATTGAGGAAACTCCGGACATCCAACTTCCTAAACCGAATCCTATTTGGGATTGAGGTTCTTCAGGTGTTGAAGGTTTTTCCTCTAAAAACATCATTATTAATCCAATTAACTTTTTTAACACACAAATTTCGGGGGCCAGTAGTGCAATCAAAATAGTGGAAAGTAAGATTTTTTGTCGAGTGACGATAAAAAATGCGTGCACAACAGATTTGCAGTTTTTTTTTTGAAAATACATTTGAGGAGAAATGTTTCCGAGAAATTTATGATCAGATTTTTTACGAAAATTTCTTGTATTGTAAGGACAATCTGTAGACATTTCATCATAGAATTAATAGTTTTATAAATAATCGTAAAATTAAAAATGATTTTATAGTTTCAACTGAAATATACTTTTAAGAACCTTTTCCAGAGCCAATTCCGAATAAATTATTCAATAATTAAATTCCCATTGTGAAAAACTATATTGAAACCATTCATTTTTCCTGCATTATTATTGAGATAAAAATAAATAAAAGTGAGAAACGGTAAGGTTTTACTATTCTGCCATCCATGGAAAATAATTTTTTCTAGTATTTCACACGTTTGTAACTGAAAAATGGATCATTTAGGTACCAAAGTTGAGGGTGGAAAATTGAAAAACTTGAAAACAAGTGGAAAATTGTTCGTGTATTGAATATACACGTATACATGCAATCAAGTATAGTGATTTTTGCTAATAAATTAGCAAGATGCTTCCGAATGGTTATTTTGCACAACATTTCCTTCTATCATGTATAATGCATTGTTTATTTCATTTTATTAAATTGAATATGATTTATTTTTTACTAAGTTTGTCAGATTTTCAACTTAGTTGAATGTTATCATCATCATTATTCTTATAATCCCTTTCTTCTTCTGTACAACCAATTGTCCTTTTTATAATTTTATCTCTGTCCTCGACCCTTCGATAAAATGTTAATAGATAAATGTTATTTATACAAAATTGAATGAATTTGAAACGTCACATTTGAAGAAATCATCAAAAAGCTCACTTTCAAGGAAATTCATTAACATTTCGAAATTTTCAACATTCATCATAAAAATCAAAGCAACTAATATCGCTATCGTAATCATCTTTCAACCTCGATTTAATGGCATTAAAACAAACATTTTAAGCTATGATTAAATTCATTTGAAGCATGATATCCAAAGATATCCCAGGAATTCTGTTTTTCAAAAAATACGAAATTTTTGGAAATTTTCGAATAAATCAAAATAACGATTATCGCTATCGCTTTCATCTTCGAACTCGGTGAAAAGGGCATCCAAATATATTTTTTAAGCCATCATTCAATCAATTTAGAATATTTTTTTTAATTATCGTGAAAAAAAAATTTTTGCAAAATTTAAATTTTTTTTTAAATTAATAAATGAATTAAATTTTACTAAATGACGACTGATAGGGCTCAACAATACCTACATTTGAGGGAAAAGATTCAATTCTATCGATTCATTAGCGAACAATCGAAGAAAAATTTGTTTATATACGTACATACGTACAGACACGGTCTAAAAATTGCATTTTCGGACTTTTTGGATTCTACTGGGTCAATATAACATAAGAAACCTAAAACTTAAATTTGAACCATTACAATGCTTTAATTTATCAAGATTTTGTAGGTCATGAGATTTTGCAAATTTTTTGAGATTCAATTCCAGCCATTTCCCCATCGTGAATCCTGGGTAACGCCAAGGGCTGGTAAAGTGTATTAGACCTTATCCTGCCATTAAAGACAGAATTTCATATGTATAAACTGTAAAAATCTACATGATAAATTATAATAAATTGTTGCCTTATGAGGCGGAGATGGGTAGTGAGTCCGTACGTCTGTATGAGCATATAAACTTGAACTTATATGTCTCATAGAGGTTGAAAATGAGTCAAATTTGAGCCAAAGTTATCCAGCTCATTCACAGTGATATCTCTCTCATTTTCAAAACGCGTTTTTGAATAATACTGGGAAATCAAGCCAATAGGGAGGAAAATGCAAATTAATAATTTGATGTATCTAATGGCTGTTCGGTCGTCATTTGTCATAGTAGTCAATGGTTGTCAGATCCTTAGCTACTATGATAAATTATTCATGTACTATTTCCTCTCTATCGAACTTATTTCCTAGCCTTTATTAAAAACGCTCTTTGAAAATGTTCAGTTTTTGTTTCTTCTTTTTTTGATTGTACAATCATAATTGTTCGGGATTCCCGCGTGATGTAAAATCCAATGGAAATTGTGATATATTTTACATTATGAAGATGGAAAAACAATCGAGATAACGTTCGAAAGATAATGGAGCTGAAACTAGCAGAATATTCGTCAGCCGAAAATTCAATTTAGGGGATATTTAAGTGTAGGAGAGTCAACTAATCATATGTACAAATCAGTAGTGAAGTGGTAAACTGAGATAAGTCGACTTATCTCCCAGTTGAGTTTTTGAGGAATATTTCCGAATCTAAGGGAGATAGCGAAATTTTCGTAATTACATTTGTTGTAGCACTCAATCGGCTCCACAAAAAAGGTTATAACAAAAATTTTGCTATCTTCCTTAGATTCCGATATATTGATTGAGAACTGGTCAATAGTCAAAATTGACTTATCTCCTTTTACCACTTCGCTACTGAAATGTTTTTTAAATGCGAAAGACTTTGTATATTACTTAAAAACATTTACACACCCCTAGATTTGCCTAAGACAAATCTTCCGCTGTCGAATCTTTCCCTAGTTTGAGCTTCATCGAAAAATAATCCACTCGATCCATAAATTTAAATTAAATTACTATACCAATTTCATAATATTATACTACCATATCATCTGGTACCATGAATTTTTCACATATTGAGACCTTATACGTTTTATTCCTGTTAATCACAGCGTGAGGCCTATATTCATATAACGCATCTTGGACCCCTAAAATTCATACTCCAACATTTTGGTTCCTGGACTATTCCATTCCAAAAATTCCAAAAATTCATGCAAGTTCCCTATTGTTAAGAATTCATCATCCCCTGCCCCAACTTAAAAACCTAAAATAATCACCTTTCGCCTCCACCGCCTCAGCACTCCCCACGAGCTCCTCAGGGTCAGGCACCCCCATGCTCTCCTCCAGCATCGACAGCCCCTGCGAGACATGGCTTGTCAAAGTAGAAACCCCAACACTGGCAGTGGTCAGCAACGAAGAGCCCCAGCTCCCCCAGCCGCCCCACCCCCCAGCCTCCTCCTGCTTCTCCGCCAGTTTGTCCAGCACCGCCTTGGCCTCAGCCTTCCCCTCCACCTTGCTCACTTCCTCATCGCCAAAGGTCTCCCACCCATCCCCCACACCCCCCACCGTCCCCTGGAAAACCTCCTTAAAACTCTTATTGGACTTCAGCTCCTCAGGGACATCATCAAACTCAGGAGAATCCTTGCCCTTCGTCACCCAGCTGCTCCTACTTTGGCTCTCGTTCTGAAGGATCTTCGTTGCCTCATCGTCGTCGACCTCCCAGCACTCCTGGATCATCGGGGGCTCCTTGCCAGCCTCGATGGCCCTTCTTCGTATGTCCTCAGGGGTGAAAATGTCCTCAGGGGGTGGACGAGGCCTCTCTTCAGGTATTTTCACCCCCAGTTTCTTGGCACCCAGTCCCACTGGCTTCGAGGGCTTCTCCTTGCGCTGTTTTTCGGGTCTTTGATGTCTTCTACTCGATGGAATTACATCTTCATTCTCTTTTTCCACAGACAATTCCACTTTTCCCTCATTAATTGATTGTTTTTTAGCTGGTGCAGGAGTTGAATCACTCTTTTTTTCACTAATGTCATCGGTTTTATCAGTTCTATCCGAAGTTAAACTGGTTTTTTCTCTGGCAGAAAGTGTCGATTCGTTGCTTTTGGAGTTCTGGGATGGATTTAGGCCCTTTTCGGATGATTTTTTGGAGCTGTTGGACTCCTCTGATTCTCTCAGTTCTTCGGACAGGTTCTTCCCCCCTGGAACAGCTGTTCCTGCCCTGCGGGAACCTGTGGAGATGTTGGACGCCCAGGATTTGTTCTCGGAGCCTGAACCACACTCGTCATCGTCACTGTCGGAGTCCACCACTGAGTTAAAACGTTTTGGGGTTCTCTGGGGTCTCGATGGCCTCGGGGCGTCCCGGAACTCTATCTCCTCGTCGGCACTCTCAAAGTCGTCGCTGTCGGACGTTGCCATTGTATTTTGGATTTTCTTGTGGCAATTTTCAGGGGGTTTATCCTAGGGTGATCACTACGTCGCTCGTTTCGGGCGGGTGATGTGGGATTTAAGGGGTAATTGGTCCGCAAATTTGGTTAGGGGAATGAGTTTCGAGTGGTTTTGATGGTTCGAATGAATTCTTGCCGATTTTGTTTCACTTCTTCACATTTTCAGTGTGTTATGACGTACTTATGACAAACATTGGGATCACGTGGGCAGACATTGTTCGTTGACTCGCGAGGTCGTCGTCGTGGCGTTTCGGTGCTTTTGCGCATGCGCCGGGGGTAACCAGGAGCGGAGAGGGAATTACCCTGGTTGGCCTTTGGTTTTTAAAAAACTAGATCTATGCGCGCGCTTTCGCGCACTTATCTTTTTGTTGTGAAAATGAAGAAATCGAATTTATTAAACTTCATATACTCATAGATGTTTTATAAATATTGATAATGACTTAAAGAGAATTAAGAGAATGAAGAGAATGAAGAGTGAAGCATCAATGAATAATTTTTAATCTTCGATTAATTCTTTTTTTTTACTTTTTAAAATAATCTGATTAAAATCTGTAATTGTAGAAAAATCAGGGGAGGGTTATGAATTAATTTTCTAGAAAACCGAAAAAATTTCTTGAATTCTTCGGAAAATTTCACAGTTTTCCAGATAACCGTAGATCACAGATTTTTCTTGAATTATTTGGGAAACCGAAGAATTTTCGTGAATTTTGTAGAGTTTAGAATTTATGTATGAAAATCTGAAAAGCAAGAATTGATCATTTTGGCGTGTGATAAATATGAAAAAATTAAAATTTGGGAAGTGAAGAATAATTTGTGAGTTAAAAAAATTTAGAAATACTATGTTTTTTTTCTCATGATCAACAATTAGGCAATTTAGATATGTTTTGATATAAAGATCAACTTCACACATGAAAAAATGAAAAGTATGACGTAGAAAAAAATTTTGGCACTTGAAGAATTTGAAAACACCGGAGTTTTTTTTCAGCGACTACTTCACATGACTCATTGACCAATCAGAATTGAGGATTAGCGGTCAGGCAGTTTCGAGATATTTCGATATAAAACAACTTCACGTTTCTTTCATCTTTAGTAAATAGGATTGAAAAATTGTCAAGTTGTTGAATTTTTTCTGCTTTTGCTTTCGAATGGAAACCTTGTATTTGACCGGTTTATCGATTTTCTAATTTTGATTGCAAATGGTCTAGAATTTTATGAAACGTCAAGAAATCAGTAGCGAAGTGGTCAAACGGTTGAAAGTTAATTTAGTCTTTAGTTGACTTTTCCAGAAATATTTCCGAATTTAAGAGAGATAGCGAAATTTTCATAATAACCTTCTTAGAGATTGAGGCTAATATTAGGGTGGATTGGGGGTACGTGATATCGAAAGGGTGAAATTAAAGACACGCGGATTACAAAAACTTTGGTGATATACTTTATTTGTGGCCCAAGCCACGCGACTTGATTTCAGGGATACACGAATTGGTGAATGTCTCAATGTCAATTTGATAATAGTCTTTACACTGCAATAGAGATTCTCTCGATATTAAACTTGATGATTGACTTAAAATAATTGATAGTTAACTCAGAATTAATTGATAATTGAATCAAATAGAGACGCTACACAGAGCGCTAGACTCAATATAATACTCGGTGATGTACTCGATACTCGATTAGTTTGATACTGTACTCTATAGGTCAATCTCTGACTAACCGATGTATACTCTTGGAGGAATAGATTGATACTACTGAAATTTCATATTTGGCGATTTGCTTCGTGATTAGCCCATGAACCCGAAGGGTCCCGAAGTCGGTCGAGATTTTCCGTTGAGCCCAGTAACTTTAAGTGCTACTAAAAAGGTTATGATAAAAATTTTGCTATCCCCCTTAGATTTCGAGATATTCATTGAAAACTGGCCAATAGTCAAAATCGACTTGAACCGTTTGACTACTTCGCTATTGAAATGATGTTTTTAGGGTCATGTATGTCACAATTTGGGGTTTTGGTGATTAGTTTTTAGAAAATTCAACATAAATACGGTGAAATTTGTAAATAAAAATCGGAAATTTTTGCTCATTGTAGCTATTATTGAGCTCAAATTTGGCGCGTTGTTTCAGCCCGCTCGGTCCAGTAGTTCCTGAGATATAACAATTTGTTTAAATTTTGTTTTTCCTCATAATCTCAAAAAACTACTGCACTAATTTGAATTTTTCTTTTCAAAATACTCGTCTCGCTGGCCTCTATGTAAGTCAATCAGAATATATAGATTCTTTAATACACAGTTTGGAGATATTGCCGTTTTTATGAAGAATCTTGTACGCACAATAATTTGAGAAAAAAAGAAGATGGCAAATTGAAATTCGGTATGGTCCTAGCTCTTACAATACTAAAGGTTGATATATTTTTGATGAGTGCAATTGGCCAATTCGTTCCTGAGATGTGCAACCTTATGTGTGAATATATTTTGGTCAATATCTCACAAAATACTCAACGGATTTAATTTTTTCTTTTTTCAAAATACTCGTCTGGCGGCTTCTGTCTTGATTAATCAAAATATTTACATCCATTCATTCAAAAAGTTTGAGATATTACCGTTTTTCGTTTTTTAAATTTTTTCATCCTTGTACGCACAATAACTTGAGAAAAAATGAAGATAGCAAGTTGAAATATGATTATAGCTCTTACAATACGTTAGCATGGCGTTAGCATGAGGTTTTATGGAGCTTAAGGGTGACAATCGTGTTTGATGGAAAATTTGAAAAAAAAAATTTCTTCCTCTTCACTAATAGAAAAAATATGTATTAATCCACGTGATAAATTTTTAAACCCGCAACAGGAACTATATATCGAGATAATAAATACTGACAATTTGTCAGTGCCACGCAACGAACCTCGAGAAAGCATGGGATTGAAATATCTGTTTTATTTACCTCGGTACCCCATTGTTTTTCGCCGCCATCACATTGAGCAGATTATCCTTAATTGAAATGTTCAATTTCATCGTAATTCCATGAGAGCCCGTGTATAACGCTCTTTTTGTTTATTTAAGTTATAAAATGTTGAAATTGTTACAAATGTTCACCATGTGCTGATACTATACATATATTAATGAAAAAAACGAAGCCGTAAACCGTTTCAATTAAAAAAAAAAGGAATGTTTCTTTGGCAAGGCCGAAAAACTGAGTATGGCCATTTTTGGAATTGATTCGGATGGAAATCTAATTTTCGAAATAAAATTCACTTGATCCGCTTCACCGTTTCGTTCCTGAATTTGAGGTAAACGCCATAAATTTGTTTTTAGTTGAAATTTAGGAAATTTTCAAGAAATTTCGATGCGAAAATAGTATATTGTGCATCAAGGGCAGAAAGTCAAGACTCCGCCTGCAATGGAAAGTTCGTGTTTTGCTCTTTGATGAGCGGGAGGAAAGCATGAACTTTCTGAAACTTTTCAGGGGTGTGAAAAACGCATTTCCGTCCCGGCGGGCGCAAAGTTACATTTCCCTCCCGCTTCGCGGGAGGGAACTCTGACTTTGCGCCTACGCCGAGACGGAAAATCGCGTTCTAACCACGGGAAGTAAAATAAAGGACCCTCAGCCGCGTGCTTACCAACCTCGCCTTCGGCTCGGCTGGTAATTGCACTGGCGGCTGAGGATCCTTTATTTTCCCAATGAAGGTTTGAAATATACTATTTTCTTGCTAATTCTCGAATTTTGATCGAGTGATATGTAATTGTTGGGAAAACATTGGTTCATACTAGCTACTGCAACAAATTTTTCTTAATCATCAGAAATTTTTGTTTCTTCGAACATATGAACAATTGGATTTTCGGAAAGTTGATAAACAGCCGATTCGAGTCTCATAGTTTTGAGTTTTTATTCCCATAGAGAATCAGGATCAACCAGAGATGTAAATTTAAATATTGATGTATTTAATTCAATCGCGAAGCGGTAAACCGGGTTAAGTCGATTTTGACTATTGGCCAGTCTTTGACGACTAGCTCGGACTCTAAAAGAGATACAAAAATTTTGGTCATAATCTTTTTTGTAGAGCCAACTGAGGGTTATAAAAAAGGTTATGAGCAAAATTTTGCTCTCTTAGATTCCGAGGTATTCATCAAAAAACGGCCAAAAATCAAAATCGACTTGACTCGGTTCACCGCTTTGCTACTGAATTCATAATTTTCCTGATTATAACTTTCCCGTATACTTTTCGGTTTTTTCGTTGCATTTTTACTAAAAATGCTCTCTCTTCTTTCCGAGGTTAAACCATCGTTCTTACCGAGGTGTTTTTTCATGGTCACCACTACATTTAGTAATCACGCTCAGTGCTGCTTGGCTTTCCTATAGCTAAACTTAGCCATCAACGCAGTGCGCTAACTCCTCAGGGTTATTAAGGATACCCCAGTACTTCGTTCAAGTTAGCAACTTCTTTTCAAGTAAGATTTCAGTTTTGTCAAAATCTCGCCTCCTGATACTTTTCCGGATTTTTCATTGTTGAATAAATTCGTTTTGGGAATTTCTTCAATGAATATTGTGCGCAATATTTTATTCAATTTCACACTTGATGTCAATTCAATTCAAAACGAAGCGTTCAACTTGGAATACTTTCACTCGTAAAAATTTTGATGATTCTATATTTTATTGCGAGAGATTTTCACTAATTGCGACTTTGGAAGACTGCTTCATTTTATTTTTATTTTTTTTCATTCCGGCCGTAAGACAGCGCAGCAGCACGCGTCCGTGAATGCTTGCCTACAGCCGTTATGACAAAAAATATTTATTTTGTCACTAGGCTGAAAAAAACTTTCCTGGCGAATATGAGTTTGCAGCCCGAGGCGAAGGCGAGGGCTGCAATCATATGAGCTAGAAAAGTTTTTTTGTCATTCCGGCCGTAAGGTAGCGTTTCACGGACGCTCCACTTCGCTCCACGTCCGTGAATCTCTACTTACGGCCATCATGACAAAAAAATACTGTTCGTCATACGGCCAAAAAAAACTTTTCTAGCTCATATGATTGCAGCCCTCGCCTTCGGCTCGGGCTGTAAACTCATATTCGCCAGAAAAGTTTTTTTCGACCTAATGACGAAATATACTATTTTGGCCGTATGACGAGCAGTATTTTTTGTCATGACGGCCGTAAGCAGAGATTCACGGACGCAATTTTGACTACTAGATGGTGAGAGCACATATACATTTAGCAACAATCCCGCAATCATTTGTATCTTGATA